AAACATCCTCTTTTTTTCTTATCCTAACCTACACTTCACTTCTGCTGAGACGCAGGAGCGGTGTTAGTGCCTATCTGCACATCGCCAGTGAGGCTTCGCCACTGGAAGAACCCTTGCGGAGCCTAAACAGGCTTTCGCTCTTCCCAGCTGAACGAGGTTTCCGTGCGCTGCCTCCCCCCAGATTTACGCCCCACCTGCACCACAGGCTTGTAGACAACCTGACTTGGGCTCAGCTTCCCTCTAGCAGCAGGAACACCGAATGTACGGGGGTGCCAGTGCCAGCTCACTCAGGGCAGTGTTTTCTCGAGGCCCAGACCTGCTGGGAACTTACTATGTACATCAAAAATGTCACTCCAGTCTTAACCATGGCTAAATGCTGTAGATTGTATTGTGAAGGACGATCTGTTTACTATGAAACCATTGTAATTTCTGCTTCCATATTTCCTTTACAGAAGTATTCCTGGATGTTACATGATAACCTTATTATGTGAAAGTACATGCAAACTGTAGAGTGTATATATTGTGTCGTTACACGGGGTCCAGGGATGGTACACTGTGTTCCATGGCTTACGCCGGGGCAAACTTCAGCTGTTAAATCCTGAAAGACACCTTGAAGCACAATTTCCTCACCGCTGATTTGCCATACAATTTACCACATTCAGTCTTTCCCGTTTTCTTTTATGTGCAGCCTGATCATACTAAAGCCTGATTACAACAGTAATTTTGTGAGGATAAATAGGGTTTTTTCCACATCTCAGTTCATTTAACTGTTAACTTATTTGAATGTCTGCAGTTTATCCAGACAGATCTGTAAGTTTAAAGTCCTATCCAAAATTTAAAAACTTAAAAGCTTTTTTCATGCTTTTCTTTCTTTTCCTTAATGGTTTATGGTGCCTTTCTTGCCTTTCATACCAAGCCTCCTGCTGGCCTAAGCATAAACCTGCGCTTAGGTTCAGTTAAGGAGGAAGAGACAGGGCACGTGGCAACTGCGTGTCAGTCATGAAACTCCCTTCCCCTCCTCGACGAGATCGAAAAATCAAGGCATCGTGAATTGGACTCCACTCTTCCACCTTCATCTGCATGAGCAGACGGTTGCACCCCCACTGAGCCCGGAAGGCGTCAGTGGGAGAACTGAGCATTGGCCGGCCCTGCCTGAACAGATTCCGTACAGAAACAGGGCCTTGGGTTTTGCTGATAATTTATCTCACGGAAACTTGGTATTTTTGCCTTAAATGACATGCTTGAGTCCTTCTAATTTTAAGTTAATTTATTTAATACAGTTTTGTGCACAAAAGAATGAGTTCTATAAATTATGTATGAAAATGTTAATGTCTTTACAAAGTACTAATAAATCCAGAAGATCGTATCTTGTCAAATTAAGGTTTAAAATCCTAATTTTTTTCTTTTATGCTCACCATTATTATTTTTGTAGCTGCAAGTCTTATCGTATAGGAATTTTTTAACATAATATTGATAGAAAATAGAAAGAGTAGTGAATATATGAAATTCTGGAGAGGAAGAATTGTTTGTTTGGATTTTTATAAGCTTTGCTCATATTTCCTCATGAGGAATTTCCTGTTTCTACGCTCTCTCTTCAAAAGACAGTGTCGTGACGGACAGTCATTCATTGGTTTCACAAAAGAAGGAGCTGTCTGGCTTTTCAAGTCTTGTCCTGAGCTGCTTATTAAAGTCCAGCTCATGATAGCTAATAAGAACTGTTCATGAATAGGGACAAAGGACAATTTTTTTTTCTGATTTGCAATCCACTTGAGGATTGTTGAAGAGAGAATTTGAACTTACGCAAGAGCATCAGGAATTAAGCCTTATCCAAATAACTGTTTTCTGATCAGCATGTTTCTTGTACCTGATTGAAGAGAGAACTGAAAAGAATAGTTTTGATGATTATTATTTGTTTAAAAATTTGTATTTGCTCCTGGCTTATATGATCTATACTTTTTATTTAAAGATGAATATAGTGTTTTAGCCTAGGGTTCGAGATTGCAAAGATCATACACTTTTATTCACAGTGCCCACGGTTGTTCCATATGTTTTTGAGATAATCCTACTTAGAGTGACTGCTCTCATTATAGTATGGTGATGAGTAATTCACCTGCTCTTCTGTGATAAGTCAAATCATACTGAATTGCTGATGTATGGTAGAACATCTGATGTACAGTAGTATTTCTGGATTGGGACCTGCAATCCTTACTCAAGCGAAAATTCTATGGAATTCATTCATTCCATGGAATTCAAGAATTTTTCTTGAATCGAGAGCTCAGATTTAAATCCTTATTTTGTCGGGCATCTGTTTAAAGTGAAAATGGTAATATTCCAGTTATTTCCTGAGGAAACTAATACTTAGCTGAATTTACCCATGTCACATTGACTATATAAAAAATAACGCACAAAGTATTGATGTAAAAAGGGGAGAAGAGAAGGGACATCTTTAAAAAGCACAGAGAAAAGGAGAATAATCAGAAAAGAGGAGTAAGCAGGAAAAGAAAATGTAACAGCAAAGGAACGAAAAAAGGGTTTAAACACCTGAGGCTAAATTCATCCTTGGATGGCTTCACTGACTTCAATGAATTCACTGCCCAACTGGGTGAAGTTCAGCCTCCATTGGGATAATCGGGCTCAGTTCCACTGACCTTAAAGGAACTGAACCCACCTATACCAGGAATGAACTTGCCTCTCTGGGCCAACTTTTATCCTGACTCATATGTCATGCAATCCTTTTGGATTCATTAGGTTTGAATGAAATACAGGTCAGAAAAGAATTTGCCCCAGATATTTCTGCTTCACATTTTTTTTCAAGTGTGTTAATCTACTTAATTCAAATGGATTACAACATCACGCAAAGTGCTGTCACTGTCTAAAAAGGTTAATTGGTTTTTGAAATAATTGTCCCCTGCAGCGTCAGTGGAAGCATGTAATATTTTCCTGTTCATTCACCTGGATGCAAATGTGGCCATGGCCACACATAGGACAATTCCAGACATATCCAGTATCATCTGCTATTGGAAGCATTTTTTACTTCTTTGAAAGCTAAAAAGCCAGTTTCATAACAGGCTTAGAAAGCACGAAGGCTGCTTCCACTGACACTGCAATGACATTAGCCAGTACATTACAACGTTAATTGTAACTTCTTGACAAAGTTGAATCCATATTGTTGTTAATAAAAATGATTTGAAAAGTACCATGCTTACTGGGTTTTTTTCCTTACATAAATGATTGTATGGTGTAAGCACGTACCAGGCAAAAAAAAATTTAAACTTGCTCATTGTTTTCCTTTTGAAGTTTTGTAATTTTTTTATTAAATGGACCAAAACACCACAAAGGAAGTTTACTAGAATAAAACGTGCACAAACTAGTCTGATATGTTCAGTTTCTGGTAACTGTTTACAGCAGAGTTTAAACTTCAGGTGTTTCAGCACCTCTATGAAAATTAGTTTGGAAGTTATTATTACCTTCCATGTTAGATAAACGGGAATTGATTCAGGATCAGCAATCAGGGGCCTGTGCGAGGAGCAGGATTCCCAAGGCAAGGCCCATCCACTACCTCAGTTTAACTTGAGGCCTAGGTGAAGCCCTTTCCTCTGCGTTGAATCATGAAAGTTGCTCTAGAATGCTGCTGCACCAAGCCTTCTTTGCCCACCTAGCTCTCCCTGCAGTCCTGCTGCAGCTAAGCTTTAGTATTTGAGTGTGTGGAGGCTTCACAATCAGAGCAAGATACTTCCATGTATAGGTGACCCCCTACCTCTCCGACGTACATCATTTTAGATACTGAAATTTAAAGATGCAGTCGCCAGAAAGGCAGATTTTCCATGCAGCCGTTTGTACCCACAGGCTATGTGAACACTGCCAAGCTCTGCCTAAGAAAAAACACAGGACAGGAAAAAAGGCAAACATGTACACACACTCTTCTTTTGTAAAACTGGGCGGTCTTCCTTCACATGTACATGCAGGTAGTAGGGAAGGGTCGGAAGACAGCAGTGTGAAGTTTTTCCTGTTGAGTTGCCCTGATGATCACAACTGCCAGACACAGGCGGTAATCTGCATCTATAAAGACATATATATTCACCATTCAGCTCTGTACAATAGGAACACAAGACTGTGCCTAAAAGAGAAATTTAAACCCTCAATCACTTAGCTGATTTTCAATGTAACTGAAATGTTATCTTTTTAGTTTTTTCTTAGGGTTTTTTTTTCTACTTTTTTAATGTGAGGGTGATTGAGCGCTGGCAGATTGCCCAGGGAGGTTGTGGAGTCTCCAACCTTGGAGATATTCAGAAGGCGCCTGAATATGGTCCTGGGCAACTGGCTCTTGGTGACCCTACTTGAACAGGGGGTTGGACAAGGTGACCTCGAGGTCCCTTCCAGTCTCAGCCGTTCTGTGATTCTGTTTCCAACATTCTATCAGCTTTAGTACATTCAGTCATACTAAAATCTTCATTAAAATATCATTAAAGCTTAATTTGAGATTAAATATTTAGACTTCCCTAAAAAATTCAGACCACAATGTACCACCATGACACGAGCCTAGACACCTAGCAAAACTCCTCACTGCCACCCTCACTCCCCAGCTGCCTCTTGAGGCGGCCTTCCTTCCCCCCCTCCACCCCACACAGGCTTCGGGGCCTTCCCACCCGTTCCGGACCGAGCTCTTGCCCTTC